TATATATATATATATATATATATATATATATATATATATATAAACACGTTGATTTATCACACTTGCTGCAGTTATTAAGAAGCGGTAAGGCGACTTGGAGAAGACCATCTATTCACGAGGCAGTCTTTTTGACATGAGCAGTAAATTTAAATTGTGTTTGCCGCTTATCTTTGTAAGATTCGTGTGAAGTAGACTGCCTTTTTACCTATTAAATGAATGTCCATAGTCCGGGCGAAAACCTACAGTGTTCGCCAAAAAGTACTTATGGGCCACCATCATTAGTATTGTCCACAGTGAAGGTGATTTCAAACAATATCCGTCCATACTCCGCTTCAACTGTTTCGTGAGAAACTGCTGCATCCTTAGCAAGCCAAACAGCAGTCACGTTTAACTCACCGACCCACTGACACTCTTTCGCGTGCTTCAGTCGATCATACTAACCCAGGTTACCGGAGTCTATCTGATAGCACCGACCAAATGCACTTTTCAGCATCGCGCAGGTACAGTTGGCTGCGCAGTGCGATCAGGTGGTATGGTGCGAAATGGCAGACAAATATGGTGACGGAGCATTACACGCGGCCCTTAAGTTTGAGCCATTCATCTTGTGTGGCACAGCCAAAGTGCATACAACCTCAGAGGGCAGTTAAATCGAAATTGGGGATGTGGTTCACTCGGTCGATGTTCGGGTTTGTTGTTTCGGTCACCAGTATTTTGGGTACAGCACTAACATTTTCGTTTTTAACAAATAGCGTAATGGTTTAACAAAGTCAATGTGAGGTGCACAACGTATCCGCTTCGGTTTATCCTAAGGACTGTATGTCGTAAATACACGTTGATTCACATGGTTAGTGCGCAGCTTCCGTGAAGAAGTACGAACCGTAGGTTAGTTTAAGTCTAGTTCGGATGTGCATCCCACTTCATTTGCATATCAGTTACTGGGCGTCCTGTGTGAAATCTGTTTTCGGGTAGTCTAAGCCTAAGGTACACTCAACTGTGAGTTTAATTTGATGCTACTTGAATTCTACCTCGTTACTTCGGTTTAAACCTGTTTACATTGTCATGCAAAATTGCAACGGTTAATGCTCGGAAATTAGTTCTGCTAAACATATTTAATTTCTGTTAGTTAGTTTAGTAGTTTTGAGTTGGATGGGAATTTACTTCCATAGGTGGCGAAGTTTGAATGCCAATGGATAGGAACACACACACGATCAATCTTGATTGGATGGATATCTGGGCGAACGGAATATGTCCATTTTTCTTACACTGTCGGTTATGTTCCTCCACACAAAGTCGAACACTTCTGCGAAGCAATGAGCGTTTTCACAATATCACCCAGACCTGTCCGGCGAGCTTCGATTTTAACTTCGTCTGTCCTTATAAAGAGACGGGTTGTTTCAGTTGGGTTGTCTTGCTTCTGTTAACAATTCGGCCAACGCCAGCTGGTACTCGTATGTTTCCGTTGGGCGATCATTTAAACGGGTGAATTTTACGTATGACAGATAAGGTCCAGTTAGATGTTAGCCACTAATATGGTGGGAACATATTTTCGACAAAATTACACATTAGGAACTAGGATTTCTTGTTGCCCTCTGATAGCAAATATTTCCCTGAAGCTGTCAAATAACGAATAGGGTCCAATTTACATCGATTCTGTCTGTCGCATGATTTTCGGACACTCAAATGTTGAATCGATCGCCATTCCGCACGGTTAGTATCCGGTTCCGACCTATTTTGCGGAACTGGTATGTATGTCCCGACAATTTGGTTTATGACTCTACAAGACAGTTCACCTTGGTGGGACGACGGCCGAAGTCGTTTGTGAACTTTTGCGTGACGCCATAAAATGCCATTTACCCGACTTCCTTGTACCGGACACAGGAAGTTGAAAGCATTTGACAATTCTGATCCTGAATTTCTTGTTGTTCAAGAGAAAATGCAAGTTTTCTCTTGCCTATTCGGATTGAGTTTTAGTTGGCGTTGAACTATGCTCAGCACGCTCTAATCGGGTTTTAAAAAAATCCAAGTCGCATTATATTTCAGCTGCCGGAGTAAACTAATTCATCGACTGTTTCGTTTACGTACACTCCCTGTTATTGTCTTTGTTTTGTGTAACTCAAAGTTATTGATTGTACCATTCGCTTAGTTGTTTGTTCTTTAAACCAAGAATACTCGAATCGGTTGATAAATGCACATTATGGTTTAATAAGTCTCGTTTGGACTAGTTATTTGATTGTCGCCTTCTTTCATTTGGAATTCTAGTGACTGTGAGGTCGTACCGGTAATCTAACTGTTTTTTTTTGTTTTCTTTTTTGGTACGTAATATAGTTAACAACCTTTTTCAAGATGCTGGTCCTTTCGGCTAGCCTTATTAAAACCAGGTAGTGTGGGGTATCCCAGTACGCATTCAATGACAACAGTCTGTACCTTTTTATTACCAGAACGAACACGCTTCCCTAGTAACAGTCTATTCGTTTATCTATTCCAGAAATACCACCATGGTGAAACAATGTGCGTAAATGTTTTGGTAGACAATAACTCCAGTCGGACTGTCAAACGAATCAAAATTTCTGGTAATTTACCACGGTCGTTTTATGTTTTCATTTGAATTTTCTTGGATCTTGTTATTTACCAAGCGTCATACAAATTTATGTCCACATTAATACCAGCCCAACATGTGTTACATCCTACGGTACATCCTCGTGATAGTTTCATCTCGCCCGCTTTTGTCTCGTCTCTTGCGGCCATCAGAAAAGCAGAATGATTGTCACAACTAGTACCGGTGGGGGTGGAGTCGCCTGGTTCGTGCGAACACACGCTAGGATGTCATCAACCTATGTGTGGTCTAGTGGATTCAGCTTACGTGTGTGGATACGCTTTTTGGATTGCAGATAATGTTTCAATGGTGCTCCTGCTTGCATTAGCGAATATCCATGGTGTACCAACAGTTCCTCGTGTGCGTGTGCTTCTTTTTGTTAATCCCTGTTGAAAGTGAAAAACGAACGCGCAAACGTGAACGTTAATCATGCACAAGTGAATTCGTGGTGCACCGTGCAATAGTTCTTAACGATAGTTCAGGTATGCTTATTGACTGTTGATCAGATGGCTACTGATCTGTTCGCTGAGTTTGGCCATCGGTGTCTCTTCAGCGATCAAAAAGACATCAGGACGTGGTTGGGTTAATTGAATGGCTGACTTAATGGCCAAACATGTCCTGGTTGTTGTGTGATAGCACTTAACAAGGGACAAGGAGAAGTGAAGCTAGATTCACAACTGTTTGATTGCTCTTTTGTCTTGTTTGAGGAATATTCCAAACTCCACTTCAAAAAAAAAACTATTGCAACTGAGTGTCAGCCATGTAACTTGTCTATCACTTCCACTGCACAACTATGCTCACTGAATTTTTTGCACTTCTGGTCCAATCAAACTGTGGTACCCGGAGCTTTTGAACGAAATCATTATGATGCTAATGCTGTGAGTGTACACAAGCTTGTGTTCCACGTTCATGTTGTTATTAGGCCGTTTTTCTTACATTATCCTCACAGTACGTCAATATGCTCGAGTACTTTTGCACACCGCGGTTACCTATAAGAGTACAGTGGCCGAAATTCAATCCGAGTGAGTTGAACAAGTGATTTTATCTCTTCTGTATTATTCTACCTGCTCACCTGAACGTGCCATAGAATTCTCATCTACTGTCATTTCCACGGGGAATTCGCTCAGTGCGGGTTTGACGTGTTGATCAAACTTATTCGTACTTCGCTGTTCCGCTCACTCGCCCGGGTTTGAATTCACTGTCGTCCACCGAAACCCGCAGTTGTTTGTTCATCCACCTTGGCAAATAATTACCCCGGTTGTTTGATCTTTACTTTGTATGTTTATCAAGCTGCCTCGTTTCGCGCGTTTAGCGGCATTTCATTCTCCTCTATTCTCTCTATATGATACACGATAAAGCTGCACTTTTTCTATCAATCACAGTTTAACTTCCCTCAGTTTCACACATCAACTGTTATCCAGATTTACCCTGTACCTATGTTATGAGTAACAGCTGTATGGCAGTGTATATTTGTCTATGTGGGCTTTCGACTCAGGCCGTATTGAACAATCGCCATGTTTTGTTTCCTTTCTAATGTGCCGCGAATCTCCCCGTCCATCACATTGGACTGCGAATTTCCGACTGGTACTTCTGCCGACCAATGAATTAAGCAACGTGATTGGCATGTGAATTTATGTTGTTTACTCCAGGCGGAAGGGCTAAGTGAAGCTTGATCAAATGTGTGTGTGTGTGTGATGTCACACACTTTACACGAATGTTTTTTGAGAGCTTTTCCGGAACCATATATGACTTTCCAATAAAACCGAGGCCTATGATTTCCTATATATCATGTCTTCTACGAGGTTCGATGATTAACTAAGATAACTCCACTAGTGGCCAACTTATTTAACGTATTCATCAGGCTATCACAATTGAATGTGCCAATACTCAATGTTCTGTGTGAGAAGAATTCCTGCCACGCAACTTCCAGGAAATTCACCCTGAGGGAAGGATTCGTGTGAATCCATCTGAGTTCTCCTATAAAAGGAATAGTGTGCTATATCTCCGACAGGTCTCCGAACTGTTCACCACGAAAATTGGTCGTTTTCTATTTCTTCGGAGTCTCCATTTGACTTGGTCAGTGTTAACACCGCATGACATCATCTGCCCAGCAAGACTATTCTTCCGGATCTCCCGCACTATTGTACGTGAGCTCACCTAAGCACCAAAGAACATATGTGAATCTTTTTTGGACTTTGCAACCTTCAGATGAGTTGGGTGAAAATTTCTTTACTGCCGCCTCACGTGCAGCATCGAAGTTTGCTGTGTGTGTTCGGTCACATGTATCAAACGCAAGAATATTTTAATTCTCGTAAGACCTTAAAACCATTTCTCCATGCTAACGTATACTCATGCTGCTCATCCTTCGAAATACAAAGCTATTGTCATACTGTCTAGGGCTAAGTGTACTTTTGATAATCTCGTCATTTACAGACGAACAGCTGTTTTCTTGGTGGATATTGCGGGGCGGAATACATGAGTGCTTTTGGTTAATTTCAGCCCACTTCATAAATTGTCATCTGTTCACCAGTCCTTGAGCTACTTTGAAGGGTGCAAAGCTAATACCCTCAACGCACTCCTCGTTTTGCTTTACACCGTCTGTGTTACCTTACAACTAGGACAGCTGCGTAATAGTTTCGTCATCGCCTGGCAATGGAGTAAATCCACGCTGGGAAGCCGAGAGTCATTATAGCTCTTTCGTCAAGTAGTGCACATCTAACAAAACTTCAGGGGGATTCGAACCCGCGACTTACTGGCTAGTAGTTGAAAGCTGAGTTGTTAGTTTGAGTAGTCAGAACTGACCACGTCTGTCTCTCGCATGCGAAAACAGTTGCACAACTGTTGACACATAACCAGATTCCTGCCTAGTTTTACGACCCTACTTGGTTAACTAACCCAACTCATGTTACAACATGTTTTGTTTACTTACTGGTAACAATCAGAAGCTTGCAAGTTGGGCGCATTTCTCCCGAACACTTACCAGATCCGGATCACTTTAGACTAATTTCGTTTGACTGAGTTAAATCATGCAAGCGCTTCTTGACTATTCTTGAGAGGGCGATAGTTTTTCGCTGTTAAGCGAAACCCCCTTTACGTGTTAAGTGTTTTCCATCCACCTGTTCCTGATAGAAAAATACCCGTCAGATGGCACCGTAGTGTACTCGGTTCTTGATTCGTAGACCTGACTGACATCATAGCGACGGCTTTTCGGTTGACGAAAAATTTTTGGCCGCTTTACTTCATCGACATCGTGGAAAACTTGTTTCCCTGAAAGCTCATCGGAGCCAATGTATTTGAGAACGTCATTTTTTAGTCACTTTCGCTGAAAGTTGTCGACTACGTGTTAGTTTGCGGTGTGGTCCGCCTCACTGCAATGGCAAATTTATCCTTCGGTTTCTACCGACTGGTGACGGAGTCGAAGTGGCATCAGCTGATCTGTTACCGACGGAATTATCAAAGCAGTGTATTTCGCCCTGTTTTCTTATTGGGAGTCTAGTATCTACGAGCATGTGCAACTAGCTATTGTTAACCCGAGATATTTCCAGTAGTTTACTAAGTGAGCAGCCCACCTAAACCTGTTATCTATACAGTCCTAGCCAGACAGGGTAATAACTACAAATTGTTCGAAATCTGATTAACTGGGTAAGAGAGGAACCTTCGACTCAAAACGGTTCAACCATTGTTCCGTTCCTGGTTAGACGTTAGTGTCAGTCGTCTCCTCAAATCACTCACCATATGGTGCCCTCGTGATTTATGAATTCACTGGGCTAATGAACACCCTAAAACCGCAGCCTGGTGTTCAAATGGGACATAAGGTTGGTGAGACCATGCCTAACTGACGAGCTGTAGGAGGGACGGAACCTGTAATGGGTTGTCGAGGAGTTTTTGGAGGTCTCATAAATTTCATGTTATATCAAGGAGCTAGAGCTCAGTTGCATTCGTTGGCTGGCGAAGTTTGTTCGGTCTGCCGTGGATTAAAGATGACTTGTTTGCTTCACAAAATCCGATAAAGGAAGTGCGGTTTACCGATACTAGAAGCTAATTCCTTCGTCCGTTATCACGGCGAGATTTCATCCAATAATCAATCTCCATTGTAGGTGGTGACTACTGAAAGTTCCGACTAGGCGCTCTAGACAACACACAGATAGAAAAATTAAACCGTAAACGATGGCAGAACCACTGTTATTCCGTAACAAACTCCTGAAGTGTTGTATTGTCCAGTAGCTCAACCTTCTAATGAAACTTAGAGAAAATTAGTACGACTCGCATTTCCATACTAACAGACCAAAAATATGGAGATTGGTGAATATCTTACCACCATCCTCTCCATGTTCATAATTTCTGTCTTCCGGTTCCCCTGTCCGTTTGCGTATTCCATTGTTTATTCGGGGATAATGCACTTGATTGAATGTGCTTTCATATACCAGTTCGGTTTACTGATTTCTTAATCATTACCCGTTGCCCTTGGTGACCTGTCGCTTGGAGACTGTTCTTAGTAAACTTCCCTGCATAACTCGTTCACTTCCTGGCCTAATGGTTTACGCATCATCATGCAAGTCAGTGTGAGAATTTTTTGCCGAGTTCATGCAATCCATTTTGTCCATTTATCACAGATTTGTGATTCATGATGATTATCCACGTTTTTAGGAATCACCTCGTTTCAGAACGTTTTCATGTAATGAATGTCCATACCGTTCTTAAAGATGCTATCTCACCATTCTCCTTTTCTTTAGGGAGGGCTTTCCCATCACACCGAGTCAAACTGGTTGGTGCAAAGTGTATCGTGTATGTCCACTGCTTGTTGCCAATCGAGACAAGACTGGCCTGGCAATGGATGGGGATTTGAAGCACGAAGATACTAATCTGGCATCTTCAACCATGTAATCCAGTCTTCCAGTAGTTATTTTCTTTTGTCGTCCTGCTTGCTCCCTCTGCGAGGCTTTTCTGATTGCTCACAGCACAAGCATTGTGGCTTCGTAAATTATGTTGCACGCGATTCAACTCACACTTTCTACCATCAGTGTCAGTTTTTTGGAATCCGTGAGTGGTTTAAGATCCAAACGCTTCATGTTCTGAGAGGTTTGTTTTCCTAGTATGAAAGAGGCCTTCTGAAATTCAGTGGCCTCACCGAGACAAATGTTTGTCGGGGATAAGCAATAATTATCAGATGACAATACATAGATGCAATAATGATAGGAAACTATCTTGTTTCAATAAACTTGAGTGGATTATTCTCTTAGACTTTATGCCAAAGTCTTCTTTACTAATTACCCTTCCCAAACAAGTGTTTTTTGCTGGATTCTCTGGTTGTGTCAACCGGTTACTTACCTCCCCGTCTATTTATCATTGCTTTAGTGAGCCACCTGGTCGTTTATCGAATGAACAAATCGGTATCAGTGTCCAGTACAAGGTAAAAGTACGCCTTACCCTGGGATTCGGTGTCAGGTACGTGTAGGTTGTTCATTTTTCCGCATATATCCAAAAACTTCCACCATTGTGGATCTGGTGTGAGCTAAGCCTACTATAGGAGAACGTAGGCGGACGTTTTTATAGTTATCTTGACTTGCTTGTATGATAGGTGCCCATCTTGGCAATGCCCTAGTGCAAGCATGCAATGAACTGTATAGGGATAGTTGTTAAATCTACCGCTGAGTCACCACTTACCTATACATGGTGTGCAAGTTCTGAGGCAGCCAGTTTACCGAAACTTGGTGACCGGTACAATATATGCTCGTTGTTGCCATGGTATATCAACCGTCGCCTGATCATTACAGGCAGGCAGAAGTCACCTAATATACCTTTACTGGTTGCCGATCTGTTGTAAAGCGTCGTTCATTGGGTTGCGGCATGCTGGTATTTGACCGTTTTTGCCATAAAAGGTTGCCAAGGTAAGTGTAACAACTACCATTCTATACTCGTTGTTATCAAACAAAGACGCGGATATGTTCGAGGGTGCACTGTGACTGATCGACGCGTACACTTAACCGGTTTGTGGAATGAACTTCATTCGGAAGCAACCAAGCCTGTGAAATTGGCTCATAAGAAATTTTTGCCGCTCGCCATTTGATCTGTAGACGAAAGGAAATAGTTCGTGGCCCCATAATTTTGGGTGCATTGGAATATGCTGCTGCTAATTACCGAGTCTGAAAAATAGTATTTCTCAACAAGGATACTTGATTGAAAAATTATATGAGGAACCCTAGACTTTATTAGATTTCCTTTATTCAAGAAACCAATACTTTCTTTGGAGGAATATTTTTTCAGCTTAAATACCCGATTTCCAAGTGGACTTATGTGGCGTTGTCACTGAACATTACGCAAATTTATACTGTCCTCTCTTTCAGCGACGTCTGTTTACAATTACCATTTATACTTACTCATCCGAATCCGAACGAGGACAACGCAGATAAGACAGCCGAGTTTGAAGATGTTCTCTCATCTGCCCTTCTCCCTAACCCCATGCCAACTAATATACAAACCCATTCCAACGAACAAGGATCACCAAAACCCCAACTGCCGTCAGACAACTGTGTGCAGCAGCTGGCAAAGCAACCTAACGGTGGAAGTGTCCATATGAATGGTGTCCCAACTGCAACGTCTCCTGGAGCACTATGCATCTCATCCTCAGCTGTGCTCTCCACTATTTCATCGAAGTCTCCCTGGGCATCGCCGCAACAACACACACTGACGAGTCACGCGAACGGAAAACATACCAAGAACGCTGTGCAATCTACTTTATTGACATCGATCAACTCTGCTCCATTGATGTAAGTTTTTCTATCAATACTTAACGTCGTATCGATGTGTGGTCCAATCAAGTCACACTACCAGGAATGCGCATTGTGTTAGGATACCGTTCCGTCGCACACGTGGTCAACTCAGGCGTGCGTTGTTTTGTTTCGGGTGATTTGCAAATCACATGTTAGCCGAGACACTGTTTCTTCTACCCGCATACAATAGTTTGATCAACCAATCTGAGTGGATGATTCTTCCTGTGTTCGCTGTTTAGTCAAACCTGTTAGCAAGACTAATTCAGCCCATTCGGCATCTGCTAAGTAAGCGCTCCAAACTATTTCAAACGGACATAGTACGGTTAAGTGTTCTGCTGCTGGCTAGGAGGTCGCAGGTTCAAAACTCTCCGCATGAGACGACTACCCAGTGCCTTGGCTTTTCTGCGTTGATTCGTTTCACTCACGGGACGAAATCTCCAATAAAAATCCCCAAATCCCCGGACTACCAACGGGTGTCGTACAACTCGTCTGTTTTTCCGTTGCATATTGTTGCGGTCCGTATTCCCTCTTTTCCTGCTCCTAACGAAGTTAGTAACTTTCGTACAAAGTCGAATAACCAGCAGCGAACCTGTTTGAATAGTATCGAGAAAGTTTCTTCATCCTGAATTCCTATAATTTTAACTCTCAAGATATGGCCGATAGTTGATGTCAGCGGCGTTCTTGTCAGTTTCTATCCAGGTTTCCCACCAGTTTCCAGGTATAGACATCTCGAAATGATTGTAGAGGCCTAACATTGAGTTCCTTTCCCATCCAGTTATATTTGCTTCTTCACAATAGATCGGTTATGTACGGTATCGATTTTTTATTGGACACCCGATACTTTGAAGAAATTGCTGAGCTTCAATCTTCATTCATTCTTACTAAAGATAAAAAGGAGCTACAACAATTGGATTCATTTTTTAGTGCTGCGTCATCAGTTTTGCATCGAATTATTTCAAATAATTCTTCCAGGTTTCTGACATCCTTGCGTTCCCCGCTTCACGTCCACTTGCACTAATCGTCCCAACGGAACTCGTGTTACCTAACATTGAGTTCCTTCCCCATCCAGTTATATTTGCTTCTTCACAATAGATCGGTTATGTACGGTATCGATTTTTTATTGGACACCCGATACTTTGAAGAAATTGCTGAGCTTCAATCTTCATTCATTCTTACTAAAGATAAAAAGGAGCTACAACAATTGGATTCATTTTTTAGTGCTGCGTCATCAGTTTTGCATCGAATTATTTCAAATAATTCTTCCAGGTTTCTGACATCCTTGCGTTCCCCGCTTCACGTCCACTTGCACTAATCGTCCCAACGGAACTCGTGTTACGTTTACGCCTTTTTGAGTATTTTCAGGCTTGAAACATCATATCCCACAAGTTGCCTTTACGTACAAAAAAGCTCACTAGAATAATGTGCTTTATCGCGCGGAGGGAGTAGTGTCGGTAGCTACCAAAATGTCTACTTGGTGGTCAGTTTACTCCTGTGAGGTGCGACTGATGTGGTCCACCTCCGGTACCTCTGTTACTTAGTCAACGGAAATGCGTTTTCATGCAGTTTTCTTACCGTTTTTCCAGAGATACGCCCGAACGCCCCACTTTCGCTTGACGATATCTGAGTATCTTCAGCTTCAATGTTCTCATTTTATCTGCACGACCGACCTGTGAAATAAATGTCGCATGCTTTTTCATCGGTCACGAAGAGCGAACTGCTTTGGGGGCTACTTGGCGAGTCGCAAATAAGAACCCGATAAAGATGATTTTGTGTAGCAGTATGGTCAGTATGGTCAGTTCAGTGCCGTCATAAGAAGTGTTGCACAGGTTTCGAGGTCACTGCCGTAACCCCAGGGTTGAGGGTAGGATAAATGCTCAAGCTTACCTACATCGTCTTTGTCCTTTTCCATAGAATTCGTGTCGCGATTTATAGTAAACTATTGCTTTTTTACTGCCTATGAGTTTGCATTACTTAGGCGCTCTGCCCTGGAAGAAAATACATTTTACATAATAATAATAAGAGTGTACATATGGTTTTGTCCCAGTTATGGATACGTGTTATGCGCCGGTTTTTACAGATTACTTGCAAGAATCAGAAATATGTTCTTCCCCGATACTACACGGTCTACTATGATTCACACGACTCCGCATTCGTGTTGCATTTCGTACGGCTACTCACTCATTTTCTGAACTCCTTTTATCTGGTTGATGGTTCCTAACAAAGGGTGGTGGGAATTCCAATAGTCCCGGCTGTTACTAGCTCGTTTTTTTTATACCAAATTTCTCTTTGTACTAATGACTGGTATTTTTTTATAACGGATGATCCCTTCTTGTGAACATCCACCTTTTCGTTGACAGGAACGAGCAATCCCTCCCGGCACCCAGAACTATGGGAACGTTACTCGTCCCTCCTCAGTACACACCACATTCTTCACAAACTTCTCCTGTCCATCAGCTGGATGCAAACACAACAGCCTTGTTACCTCTGCCGATCGATTCGCTGTTTGGCAGCTTCAATTCCGACCATCATTGCTCCGGCACAGGAACCCAGTCCACTGTGAGCGAGGATGATCTAATGTTTGAAGACTTTGCTCGCTTCCGACTGCAGACCACAGCGCTTCAGCACAGCATTATCAATGAACCGAAGGTTTCCTAATTTTTGATGGTCGTATTCAGGAATATCGCACACTACTTCGATCTTAACCGTCAACGCGTCACCTCTTTCAATCTACCGGCTAGTCTTTCATCCCCGGGTTGCATATCAGTTAGCCCAATCCACAAGTTTTTTCTACATGAAACCCCCCTGCTCGCCGTATCTTTGTTTTCATTTTCACTCTGTGTATATTTAAGGTCTAGCCCACGTTAGATGTCTTCAGCATTCGTTTATAATTGTACAATCCATGTCTTCTCCTAAAACTGTCACACAGTTTTAAAGTTATCTACCTTTTAAACCTTTTTCAGAATCCTGCCCGCGTATTTTTAGTTCATCATTTATTGAACACCGATTTGAGCTGCCTTGTACACATGACTTGTTATCACACTGTACCTCAATGTTACCTTTCCCTGTGTTTTTACGGAAGGCGGTTGCATGTAGTTACGTGCTTTTGAAGATGGACCCAACTGGATATTCTCTAGTTTTTTCTCCGTAGTAGCCGCGTTGTCTACCTCTGTCGCGTTTGCGACACGCAAGCTACCGCTGTTCGCTTCATTCTAGTGTTTCATGTTTGATCGTTTTGTCACTAAGACAAGTGCCGCCGTCCTCTAATTTGCTTTTTACAACTAGCTAATGAATGCTATGTAACTATTCACTTTCCGTACTGTTGAATAATCCAGACGCTTCTATCGATCGAACCCGAGGTCGTTTCAATGTTCTTGTTCTGCCGCTTCTTGCGAGACGTTTCACTGGGTGTTAGTGCACAGATGGTCAAACGAGCATGCTTGTGTGGGTATGTGTACGTCTACAGGTGCACAGCAGTGGGCTATTGGACCTATCCGTTCCCAACTAACTGTACCATCCAAAATTACGCGTGATTAACATCTTATTGCGTTTGCGGTAGTTAATTTTGCACAAGAATGTTGCACACGATTAGTTTGGTTGACCAACCGTTGGGACCAGGTGCCTCTGGACTATGGTCACAGAGCTCAGTTACTCGCTAACTAAGAAGTCTTTTCCCTAATTTATCCACAGGCATTCGCTCTTTGCCTTCTGCTTCGACTGTTTTCGATGTTCCATTGGCACTGCATATAACTACCTTCCATAGTTTGGTTCATAGTCGTGTCCCGTGGCTTACATAAGATTAATTATCGGCATATTATCAACGATCTAGTATTCTGTTAGCCGGATCGGGTTGTGGTTCTCATCAATATACCTATGTGACTATGATTGTTCTCCATCCCAGTAAACCAACAAAGGTGGTACATATCTCCCCCAGAATGGGACTGACTTCCACTAACGGTACGACGTGTTTTTCGACTGTGTACTATGCATACTCAGCGCGTGTGGGATGAATTGAATGTCCAAACCATGCATCCACCTAGTTGGGCAATACCAAGCCGTCTCATCAGCTTCAAGTATTTATTTTCGACAAGCAAAGGTCATGTGAAAGACTGTTGTGCACACTCGGTATTCACTCTCCGGCGAAAAATCGCCTTGTATTCAAGGTGACTGGCGTCCCATGGTGCCCATTACTTTAAATCCCTCAAGAAAATAGTTGCATCCCTTGAGTCAAGTTCACCATCTGACAAAGAATGGTTTGTTTCTCATACAATAGTGGGGAGCATGTGTTCAAGTATGGTCGCTGTTTCAGCGTCCACTGCCCTGTTGCGAAAACACGATGATGGTGTGGCCTTGGTTTTTCGGATCGGCGCAGTCTAACTGATCAGAACACGAGTTTGTTTTTGGATGCATGCGTGCGTGCACGCATAGTTCCATGGAGACTTTGTCGGACGCATTTGCTTGCTGAAATATAGGTTAAACTTCACCGAGTGCTAGCATGGAATTCACTTTGAGAAGAATCCCCATCTCAATTGCCTGTTTTTTATCAAGATTTTAAAGACTTCCTAGGCACTGAAATCTGCGAAGAACAATAGGAGTTTAACGAAGTCCATGGGATAGACGGGATGATACTCACCTAATGCTCAATAAAGTGGCCTCGAAATTTAGAAAAGATAGGGTAGTTCGCAATCTCAACCTTGGAAACCAAAATAAACTCCAGGTCTTCGGGGGCTGCACAGGAAAATAAGGACAAACCAGTAACCACTCTTGTTTGTCTTTTGTCGCATATTCCGAATAGGGTAGTTTCCAACATGAGTAGGCTATGGACTGGCCCTGATCATCTGTATACATGCTCTGCGTTCTCCGCCAAGTTTCTTCAAGTGAAGGAGCCGAGCTGGACCAAACCGTACAGTGATGTGCCTTCAGAGGAAACAGGGCCAACGGAAACAGAGTAAACCGATTGACCGCACAAGTTTAGTCTAGTACAATTATCCGACATCGATTTTTACAGTGGCTCGCTTGATAGGCTGTTTAAGAATTAAGAAAGATTTTAGAATAATTTATTGGAATAACACTTAATGGTAAAATTACGTGAAACGAAGGTGATGCCACTTCAATGCATTTTGTGGTCCGAAATGCCTCACCTCGTCCACTTATCTTTTCGAACATTGTTGTACGATTAACAAGAAGCTTGAAAAGACGGCTTTTTATTCTCTTTGGTGAGGGTTCTTCGCGTTACGTCCACTGACATCTCTAAACACGATTTGTTATTGTTCCGCGAAAGTTCTCCGCTCTAAGCGAAACCTAATATGAACACCTGGTATTTCGGTACCAATGCCGTGTTTACACAACCGGATTCATCGTGTACGGTGGAACTAGTTGGGTGTGCTTTTCTGCCTCTAGTCCAAAGCTGTTTTATGGTGACTGCTTGGGCGGTATTTTTGCGGCGCCCTAATTTTTAACCATTCAATCCATGTGAATGACTCAAGGGGTTGAAACATTTGGAGCACCCCAGCCGTTTTAGAGAAAGTCGTTTCCTTTTGCCTGGAACGAGGGTTTGACTTAGCTAACCTTCATTTCCCACAACTGAATTGTCTTCGATAATATTCGAATGCAAACCGTCAAATGTATAGCTGAAGACCTGGTACTGGTGTACTCGTTCGCAGCAAATATTAATTATGTTTTGCGGCAGCAATTAAAACGACAAGGCAGCCCGTGACCCTTCAGCTTGCCTTGCATTTAAATCCTCACTAATAACCTGTTCAGCAATGTTAGCGAACTGTAGTTGCTGGCAACTGTGCTAATAATGCCCTAGGTACGAAGTCGGGAGCAAGCCACAATAACATAGCGTACCTGCAAGCATTTGCTAGTTCGTATCTCATTAGTGTGCATGAAAGGTGACCTTCAGCAAGCAAAAATCCTATCAAATCTTCGGATCGTACGGTACTTCAAACACTAGCTTAAGCCTCACTAATCTGACGGTGAATTTACCCGTGATTTAATCGCACAAACTCGTGTTTATTCTTTAGATGTGGCGCCATTTAACAAATAGGCCAACAATCAAGCCTGAACATGCTAAGTTTGCGTTCTGTTTGCGATACTTTGCCTTCGAGATTACCGAATGGTAAATGTCGAAATGATTTGCAAGCCTTTAGTCGATCGTTAATGCCTGGGACTGTCGTCATCTACCTACAATGAGTCGGCTGGTTGTTTCAAATAAATAATCAGCTGCGATTCCGGTGCACATCCTTTTAAAGTCAGATCGTTTTTGTTTAAAAGTTATACCTGGTTATCTTAAGAGACCGAAAATATTCGTGGATATCATTGAGGATAAAGATGACAAGCAATCTTTGGTTTCTGTGGCCAGCGAATTTTACCTGTGTGCCACAGATTAACATGATACCGGACAAGGCAGCTTACGTGGCCATACATTCGTGGGTGCAAATATTTAGATGATTAGGTATACTGGTCAACGGTTCACATGATCAAACGAAATATGTCAAGGGCCATTCAATTTCTACCTTCACACCCTTCGGTTAAACAGTCATCCATTTTTCTTGTTTCACTCTCCCGAATTGATGCAACGCACGCGTTGAGTGGTTCCCTTAAAAAAAGCTGTATAATTTGGATCCTTCGACTGATGAACGGGTGTAGAATTCGGTGGCAAGGAAACCATAGTTACATTTTGGTCTGTCCCGTTCAGATGTTTTGGATGTCCAGGTACATTACCGAAGATCAAATGGACCTATGAAGGAGGGCCTTTAACACGTTACGACAAAGTAGTCTGTGGATGTTGCCCTGCGCTTTCAAACTGACTATCCAAATTACAGGAAAGGTCGACTTTGTGGTGTTTTGGGAGGGGGCACGTGGACCAGCAGCGTGGTAGACTAGTAGAAGCTACAGTTTAAAGTTGACAGCGTAATAACCCATCAACATTAACGTCAGTCTATCTATGGCTGGCTTATACCCTGAGATCGCTTCTTTCAACTAAATGAGCGATTCAAGATCCGCTTCCATAACCAGCTGAAAAGAAGTCGAAGATAGGATCCACGTTCCTCGATGATTTTTTTCCATCATGGCATTTCCAAGATCAATAGCAGGACAACGCTTTTTCTCGGCACTTCAGTGTCGCGCACTCTGGAGCTATTGCTTCTTTTATTACTTACAGGAATTGAAGTATCGTAAAAGTCTGAATATTTGTTACAAGCAAACAGTCAATTCTTTCTTATGTCGTCTTAATGCGGTTCTTATAATTTCTGCCATCCAATAATACATTTGCTATTCGTTTGGCGGGCACAATTTCAATGCACCAGAAGTACATAATATACTGCCACTTTAATTAACAAGGCAAATGTGGGTTGATCGACGAGACGATGAACTGGGTACAAGGTTTTGGTAAGGAGCTGACTGAAAGTTAGAAATATAGTTTTCCTCGGATAGACCGTCTACACTTCATGCTCCATTGTTTAAACGCCCAATTTTAATCGGGTCTAAGCCTTTACACCATGGACCATGTGTGTGCACGAGCATGAGAGTCAATTCCTTGGATATTCGCATGTATAGCGCAAAACCTATATTCAACACGAAATGTGTGAAGTATGATCGTTTGCTGCACAAATGCAAGCCGCAGTAAGGGAATATAAGTTATGAGTGTTTATTAATAAGGGCTTGGGATCCAAAAGCAATTCTGAAAGCAACAACGATGATTGTTCAACAATGTTCCTCAGGAAGCACATTCAGCGTGGTTGGTTTCAGCTAAGGTAAACTTTACCGCTTCATTGATCTGGGAGCAGCTATCTTTTTTTGTGTTTCCCGTCCAGTCGCTCGGTAACATTAATCAATATGCACTTATCTTTCGAAACAAAAATCATGATAATAAGCCTGTATTTATCAGTTCCATCCGTTGAACACTCGTAAGAATTGCGCCACGGCTTGTGACAGCTACAGGGTGTGCTTACCAACTAATTTTACTTTTGTCCACATTCATACAAACCGCATTGTCGCATTTGATAAGGTGGCTGTTGTTAATTGGTGGCTGGTTGGTAATTGATCAGGTGGCTGTTGATCTGTTCGCCGAGCTTGGCAATTTATTTGCAAACGTTTCGTCACCATTCGAGGAAACATCTTCAGTGCGTTGTTGGTTGGGTTTTATTGTCCTATATTTTAGACACAACGACTTCACATGCCCTTGCTCATCAACTCCTTGCGCGTACCTGAGAAAACTTCCTTCAAAAACAGTGTTTGACAACACATGAGAAATGAGACTTTCAGCAGCTTGAATTTATCCACCTTGGTCTCTTCAGCTCATACATTCAGGTCTGCTCTGTAGTAGTTGGAGAGCTAAAGCATTGGTGGCCAACTTGTTTAGGACCGTATGTCTACTAGTTGTCTCATGAATTGAGACTGAGTTAGGATGACCATGAAATATTACTTCCAGTGAACCACATTTTTGACTAACCTCAACGCTACAAAAATTTCATTTGATTCAAAATCAGACTCCTCTGAAAAGAAGTTTTAGTCTAACAAATATTGCTCGACATTACTGATAGGGTAAAACGTTTAAGAGCGAATTAATAAAATGCCATATTTTGCACTCGAGGAACCTGGAGACGAGTAATGTATGAAAAGTATCCTTTAATGTTCAACTCAGTCAACCGCTGAATCAATGGAAGGTTCGTCCAGCCTCATAAGGTTTCTTTTCACATCCGTTAGATTCATGAAGCAACTAATTCTTACGTACCTGGAAGTCCGGTTGGGTCCACAGGACTGTTGTTAGCTTGTTCATTGATAATAAATTCTTGCCTTGGAGCTGAATGAGTTTTAACATTCCATCCACTGACTCGAATCAGTGTACTTAGAGGACCACTTCTCAAGTTTTTCCTTCAGACAGCCTCTTCCTATTTTGTGCAGATGATATTGAGCCGTACCGATGCAGGACTCTCGGGATAGAAGCACAACGCACACACCACAAAACTTGGATCTGATGGATAATACTACTAAGGTTAGAGAAGCCGACCACGACGCAATGCAGATCAAGAATGGGCCAATCAGAATCCGGGTTACAGCGCAAAGGCTGCTCTTTGTAGACTATATAAATGCAGGCACGAAGAGAGGAACTACCCAACCAACTGCGCACTGAAGATGTCTTCTCGAATGGTGACGAAACGTTTGCAAATAAATTGCCAAGCTCGGCGAACAGATCAACAGACATCTGATCAATTACCAAGGTTATTATAATCGTTCATGTAATCTGGTACCTTGGTGCCACATCTCCGGAAGGAGACAAGAATGCTAGGATATCTTCAGTTTACCTAAGCCTGGATAAGAGCACTCGAGACGCCGAGGTTTGGTCAGAACAACGAATGATGGTTAACGTAGCACCAACAGAAAGCAAGAATATTCGGATCATATAAGATATAAGGATTTACGGAAACCCTTCATAAAAGTGCTCTGACGCCTAGAATGACAAAGCAGACTTTGAACAAACAACAAATCCATGCACTGTTCCTCTATCTACGCTTCACTAACCCGTCGCGATATACTCATGTCCTTGAATAAAGGATACTAACTAAATAACAAGATCTCCATAATTGAGGAATTCCATTTTCACAAAGGTATCTTGGAAGTATGCCTTAATTCTAGTTCAAACTATAAAATATGACTTCTCAGATGCGCCCATCAATTTTTCCAGTAATTACTTTCATATATCCTCTGTTAGAATCTTTTCGAATGGTGTTTGTGCGTGGATTGCAGTTGTGGATTACTATTAAAACAAACGTGTTCGCGACCATTAACGCGATTAAATCACACTTAGACAAGATATGGCTTCAATCTCCTTACGTCACAAGATTCAAATCATGTCCTCACGTGTTATCTGGCTTCTCGATTGACAACTTCTCAGCTGCAAGTTTCACTCTACC